CCCCCCCGCTACCAAAACCTTGCCACACCAATCCAACACATCCACAAAACAACACTACAAAGGCAGAAACCATTTTTTTTCCTCCTATTGAAGTGAATATAATATTTGGAAACATTGATAATTCTTTACTGTTCACATATGACAATTCCAGTTGTACAGAAATTGTGATTTTTTTTTTTTACTCTGTTGGCTTCCAAATAGCTTAAATACCTTGGACTCATGAAAAAAAGATCCTTTTAAATGAGTTTAGAGGGAGGAAAAGTAAATGTTAACCCTGCATTTGTCTGTGTTAATGACATACCCATTTCATCTTCAGTTTAAGATGTACCTCTACTTAAAATACATAACCAATCCAAAACTTTTAATTAATGTATTTTTATTCCTGTTGAAGTAGCTTTTCAAAAGCCTTTTTTTTCAGTTTATGAAGATTGAAACACAGAACTTCTATAGCAATAGATATATTTTAGGAAAATAGATTATAGGAATATAATTACGATAGGTTCAGAGCAGGCACAGTGTTTAGGTGAGCTGTGGGCATGATAAAGGAGAAAATTTGAGCCTGACCTACCCTTTAGTATGGACTGAACTTTGCCCTTGGCTGTGAATGCAATTGTCCAACACTAGGCCTAAAAGTTGGCTATGGGCCCTTCCTAAATGTTCTAATATTGCATGCCAAATGGGCAGATGGGAATGGGAGTGTAAGCTCAAAATATTCTTAAAAGATGAAAAATTTGTCACAGCGAACTACTGTAAATTACACAGGCACGTGGGGCTCAGGGAGTGCCACCTTGCTTAATACATAGTCAAAGAGCAATGGAAGTATTTGAACTTTTCTAGAAAAAACAACGTATTCTATACAGTATTCAAAATCAGAAGTGGACTAACTGAAATAATAGCTACAACTAATGAAAAATACTATAACATACCATCTTCTAACTCTATAAACCTAGTATACCATCCTCAGTTTAGAAGGAATATGCTTCCAAAAACTGACAAGTGATTTCAAGTGTGCATCCAACTGACATATTCCTTTTACGACATGTCTGGTTCTTGCCTTGTGTATCATCTGCCTTCTCAGCTGTCAGCTCTGCAGCTCAAAACTTGTGCAGCTAGTTTCCACTTCTTGCTGCTTGGACAAACACAGGCTCTGGTGAATAAGTCCACAGGCAATTAACAGATTGGTCTACCCAATTGTTTTTTCTTGAAAACATCTTAAACTCTCCAGATGTTTACATCTCAGATGCAAGAACCAGATGTTTTGGAATATTAATTGTTTTATAAACTGAAAAAACTATAGATGCCTTGCCAAACAATTCAGTTCTTTGCTTATGAGTGATTATTCAGAGAAGAGTAATATAAATACACAGAAACATAAAAGTAGAAAACAGTTTCCTTTGGGAGTAAATCATGGATCTAGAGCCAGCTCACAGAATCCATGTATGGCCTGAACAGCAGGACTGCAGTCTGTGAATCTCTGCAAGGAGAAGAGCAAAGGATCTTCCCCTGAGGCTCCTCACTAGTAACATACCTGCTTCACACCTACTACTGATGCTTTCAGGTTGCAATTCTCACTCATATGGTTGACATGCTTTAACATACCAGGGAAGAAACTGTAATTCCTCCAGCACGCGCTTAACCCAGGATCTGCAAATCCCGGCTGTCTCGCTTGTAGCATTGGAAAAACCCCTGACACTGTCTCCCCTGTGGTCCAAAGATTTGGTCTTTAAAGATGGTGAAAGTGTTAAACTTTTGACACCCGGGGGAGCCAGGAATTCTACCTGGCTTCTTTGTAAGCAGAAGGGGATTGTGCTCGGACGAGTCTGTGAGATCTGGGTGTCTAATGATCTGCTGCCCCCTGTTTTCTGTCTAACAGAAATGCAACTGCATGGGTTTCATGGGGTCTGTACTGCGTAAGATCCTGCAGACGATCAGGGACTCGGGAACGTCTGGCACTTCAGCATGAGTCTTGAAATCATCTCAGATGCAGCCTTAGGGAATGGAAGTAGGAGGCAAGCTAAGGACCTTGCAAGCAAGGCATAGGACCTTGCCTTTCTCAGCCTGCACGTCAGCAGGCTTGTACAACTGTCTGCGGTGTTCTGCTTGATTGCTCAAGAAAATAGACCTGAATGAATGATGTAATCTTCATAATCCAGATGACTAAATTCTCTTCTTAAGGGAGAAGGCATTTAAGTGATGTTTATAATGATAGAAAAATTGGCTGAATAACATTGAGTTTTCCTGAAAAGGGACTGCTTTTGCTGTTCTTACCTGCCACTTATAGTCAAAATGGGTTCATTGGAGAAGAATATTAGAAGCTCAAGACATCTGGAAACTGAACAGGCAGAAATAGGCTTGAAAGTGATGTCTGGAGGCTGTTACGCTCAAAATCCTGTTTATGGGCACACAGGACTCACATACCTATAAAGCCAAGAACTTAACATAAGTGAAATTGTAATAGTTGATTCCAAGAATCACCATTATTCTATATCTATTTATTACAGGAAAAGAAAGAATACATCTCTACATAAAAAGTTTCAGTAATAATAATAATATGGTTAAAATTGCTACACACATATTTCTTAGCTCCTATCCCTTTTCCTTGTGTTTTGCTCTCCTTTCCTCTGCTACTCAGGGTCTTTAAGGTCAGTAGTTCCATTCTGGTATGTGTGGTGGTTACGGGTGTTACCAGTCCCTGGAGTCTTGCTGGGAGGAACATGATGTTCATATCGATGGTTTCTTCTTCTTCACTCTTAGGATCCACTTTGGGTCTTTTTTGTATGTTTGCTAACACACTTTCAGACTTTGCTCTCTCTTGATTTCTCTGCAGCTCCATGTTACATCCAAACTTCAACTGGAAAACTGTCTCTAGCTGTGTAAACCCCTTCTTCTGGAACTCCTGCATTTAATCTATTACAAAAAAGAGCATTGCCTACCTCCGTTGGCTTCCAAAGCAGTGGTGCAATGGGTCAGATCATTCACTAGGGCTTTGTGTCTCTGTGTGTCAGTCCATTAGGGGCAGCAGAAGTACTGTAATTTCCAGCAGCCAGAGTTCTGGTCCTATATCAGGTTGTGTTTTCCTAAACACAGCTGTAAAGATTACCATGTACAACAGCTGATTCCTCCCTTAATTATCAAAATAGTTTTTGATTAAAACTTAAGTGTTCTCTCCCCTCTAAGGTGCTATGTTCACCTCCAGGCCTGAAGCAAAGCTCGTGAAAATGGGAGTAAGAGCTAGGTTTTATTTATCCCTAAGCATGGCATTAGAGATATCCTAAACAGAAAGGATTCTCTACCACACAGAATGCACACCAGTTGTGACTAACTGATTCCATGTATCTTTGCATTTACTGCTCTTTCAGAGGAAATGTTCATTTAGGCTTAAATGAAAATAAACCAGAACTGTTCTAAAAGTCATTCAGATGCACTCATTTGCCAAGGCAAATGACTTGTTCATGTAAAACCACTCAGATTATTAATAGAATCTGTCATCCCAGGAAATCCATGTGTCTTGAAAGTAATTTTCTGAAGTGAAAGTGTTCCTAAGTATTTAGAAAATAATACTATATTGATTTTTTTTTTAAAACCTGTTGTATGTTTGCAGTTCATCAGATATTATCCTTGGGGCTTATGGATCTAGATTACATTTATATAGACGTGGATGTTCACAGCTGGATATTCACTAATACCCTTAAAAGGGTACAAA